CAACTATCAGTAGTGCGAAGGGAAAGAGGAATGATGCTGCTGGTACGGTCTGTCCCCTACATATGTCAATAAAGTGATGACATATCCTGCTTGGATAGAGTTTAAGGTGGAGTCTGCCATTGTATCTTGGAAAAATACATTGGCCACTTTGACTTTGACCCAACCATAATGACTTAAGCGTAGCATCATCCCCTCGTGATGTTTTAACATCCTGTTCTGAGCTTAATAAGATAACTGGATGCTGCTTACTGCTATTCTGAACCACCCACACAATGACTATGTTTACATGCACAGTAATAGTCCACTATTATGAATATAATAATGACAATATTCCAAATTGAATATGGGTCATGTAAACACACATATCTGCAGCAAAATAAATAAATAAAGTGAAGTCTGATACTAACGAGGCTAACACAATCTGAACTAATAACTCACTCTTCTTCCTCTCTGACCTCTCGTTCACTGATTGGTTGGACTGTCATCTACAACATGTCTGGACAGACTCACAATAGATGAACTCACAGTGGCTTGGTGGTCAATCTCACTCAAAACAATTTATGAACTATAAAACCTTTGTTAAGGCTGACCGTACAAGGTTTATGACCCAACCTTTCTGCTTTTACGAGCCTCTGCTTTCCTGAGGGAGACAGAGACAATTGCTCAATTCAATTCAATTTATTTTGTAGAGCCAAAAATTACAAATTTGCCTCAGAGGGCTTTACAATCTGTACACATGCGGCATTCTCTGTCCCGGGACCCTCACATCCGTACAGGAAAAACTCTCTAAAAAGCCTTAACAGGGAGGAAAGAGGGAGAGACCTGAGAGAGAGAGAGAAGTGTGATAGATGTCATGTCTACAGACAACTCAAATACACTTGATGCAAAATAGCATGGACCTTAATATGCTAGTCCTAGTCTTAGTAAGTCCTTGTATTTTTATCTATATATACAGTATATATATATTTACTCTACCTCAGAGTAACAAACTCACTTTATTTGTAAACCATTCTCATATTGAGTTTTTTAACTTGTCTGTTTGCATTTGTTCTAATCTTGTTTTCTTCAGTGATTTATATCAAACTGTTTGCTACCAGTCTGCAGCCAATTAGGCCATTTTTCAAATATGAACAAATTAAACAGACGATGAAGTAACTAGTATTAATTATGTAAAATAAGGTTAAATGCAATAATCAAGATAGTTGTTAGGGTGGGAGTGGTTCCAAACATAAAGCAAGAAGGCGTCAGAGAGTACAGGCTTCTTCAGACAATAAAATAATCTGAGATAGAAATATTAATAAAACAGATCAATAAGCTTTAGGCCTAGAGATCTAAATCACATTTAAATTACAACAAGTATAAAATTGCTTCACAGTCTTGCTTTGTGCTTCTCAAACTCTTAACTGCTGAACGGTGCATGTTTGAAACATGTACATGTATAGAAATCATTGATGATCATTACTGATTCTACCTGGTCACAAGCAATACCTTTCATTCATCTGTGGTTCATTGTTATTCATTGTACTCTTCATCATATTCTTTATTGTTTATTCATTTATTGTCTGTTTAGTAGTTTAGTTATGTAGTTAGTCCAATATATATTTAATTTATAAAGAACTCGATCATTTGATTTGCATGTGTTTGAAATAATATGCCACTGTACACAATGACAAAAACTCCGTAGCAACCGTGAGATTAACATTTAATTGATTAATTCTAAATTTTGAAGTTTTCCTTATTTTTTTTGAAAATTGTGTGTCATCCTAAATATAATCTTATGTTAAATTCTGTTAAACTAATGTCGTCTCATCCCGGAAGCTGAGTATCACCATTCATTTTATACTACTTTAAGGATTAATGACTCACAATTAAGTTATTAATAATCGTCACATATTATGATATTACCTAATTATTATTTATTACACCTGCTACCAGCTGCAACGCTACATATCACAACAGCAGTCAGTCAGTGATATTAGCTTCCTCCTGGGGGAAGCTGTTGTGTTGGAGCCAAACGGTTCTCTTCCATCAGAACCACAGCACTGTGACACTCACTTCAACACTACGGAGGGCAAGAGGGGGATCCTCCCATCTGTGTTAACTCCTGCTTCAGATCCTTTCTGCAGGTTTCATCATAGAACCAGTAATTAGCTTAATCACTAGCCTGTAACACAGGTTAGTGATTCATTGCTACATGAAATATGTTGTGGTCATGCCACAATCTTTCTGTTGGCTTATCAAGCTGAATGTTTATTTGGGGTCTCGGTGAACAGTCACATGACCCCATGACCCTCTACTGGTGTTGACGGGTGCTTAGTGGTGAGGCCAGTGCAGACACTAGAGTTGGTCAGGTGTGAAGTTGGAAGCCTAAAATCAGCCTATGATTAAGTTTGAAACAATAATTATGATAGAAGGCATATCAATTACAGTCAAAGTAAAGCACAGACAGTGGCAGCAGTAGAAGCAGATCATTTCATGGTTGAGCAAAGCAAAAACAAGCAATTACAGAGCTGCTGAAAGTACAGTACAGCTTCACAAAAAGAGACAGAAACATAGAAATGAGCATCAGGGCAGCAGTGGCACTAAGATTAGTCAAGCAACAGGGGAGTTTAGCAGCATATACGCTTTGTATCGACAGACAAACTGCCAACAGATCTGATGACTTGTAAGCCATTTTCTCGTAGTAACTGTCTCTAAAGTGCTGACTTCCCTGATGTGGGCTGGTGCAGCATTTTTGCTCATTTGCTGCTTTAATTGAAAATACAGATTGACTTTGCATTTGCATTCTGAGTGACCTTATGCAAATGCTTCCAAAGTAACAACTTGCACCACTGGAATATAATTAAGAGTCTTGTTCTCTGCACTCAGAGTTTGTAGCTCACTCAATCAATGTTACTTTAATCCTGTGTATCAAAGCACAAACAACACTGTTGGGCTTTGACTATTTCCTAGTTATGAACATTACAATTTATTTATTTCATGCATTTCTTTACTCCTACGGTTGGGTTGGTCGGTGGCCTGACTATATCTGTGTGCAGTATATTTACCAGAGCACTGGCCTTCATGGTGTCTTGAAAAGGACCTGTAATTGGTGAGTACAATTTGTAGAAAATAGTAGTGTTAGATGGATAGTTTTGCTAATATATGGGGGATTCAATTTCTTGGATTTAAATTAAATGATTGATACCACTCACATGTCTGTACACTAAATATGAAGCTACATAGCTTAGCATGAACTCTTGAAAGATGTAGCCTGGCTCTGTTCATAGGCCAGCACATAACCCCATAGAACCCCCATAGAACCGTACGTTGCTGTGTTTCAAATTGGCTTTTTTACACAATAAAAAATAATTTGATTTAACATGTTCATTTGTGAGCTTTAGACGTGCTCGTAGGTGGATTTTGTTACATTTGGACAGAGCCAGGCTAGTTTCCAGTATTTATGCTAAGCTAGGCTAAGTGGCTTGGCTCTAGCTTAATATTTAGTGTGAGATTTGCATTGATATTCACATCTACCTCGTTGAAAGAAATCAAATTAGTGCCTTTTGTAAAATGTCAAACTATTCCTTTCTATGTTGAGTACACAATGGTAAACAAGGTTGAATTGCTCTTTAACTACAGTCTGGGTTACATCTCTGCTTTCTGATTTCTTCCCCTGAAAAGAGAAGTGCAAGATGACTGCAGTCATCCCTTCTGATGTGAAACACTAAGAGCCTTCAGATGAAAGATGCAATCATTGACAAATGAGAGAAAGTCCTTGTAATTGTTCTGCCTACTTTAGGTGAATGGTAAAAATGTCCACATTGTTCGTACCATCTATATCTTCCTCAAGAAAGAAAAGAAAATGTCCTCTGTAAAGACCACGGACTAATGCAGTGAATACAAGAGTCCATCTTCTGGCTGATTGACAGTGATTCAGTGGGGCTGAAATCACCTATTGGTTTGTTTGAGCAACAAGCTAATGCTGTCTTAAAAGCTCTAAAATAACAAAATAGCTTGTTATCATCTAACTGTAAAGAAAAGCGTCCGTCGGTGTGTATTTAAGTGTGGGAGTATGTCCTTCGCATATCACAAGAACCTTTCATCTCATCGACTTGGCGGTTGTGTTGCTGGGGACCCAAGGACCTGCAGTGTCGCAGTGGGGGGGATCTGGCACCTTCAATTTGACTGAACTTTGAACAAACAAGCAAACAGCGATCTTTGTAGCAGCGAGGTGATAGTAGTATACTCAAAATATATATATGGACTTGGTAAATGAACTTGTACTTGTACAGTGCTTTTCTAGTCTTCCAACCCCTCAGAGTGCTTTAGCACTACATGTCCCATCAGGACTATGGAACCATTCATACACCGATAGCACAGCCTATGGAAGCAAGTTGAGGTTAAGTGTCTTGTCCAAGGACACATGGACATGGACTACTTAATGCTAGCTAATGCTTGATACAAAGTCATACTGCAACGGTCAGTGTCAGAAGTATGCATATTTATTGGGCTCATTATCTCGCTGAGATAACTCCGCTAAAGAGACACATATCTCTATACCCTCTGTTTGTGTCTGCCCGTCCTTGACCCAGGAAGGTGTCTGGTGGGGGCACTGCTTTCCTCTCCTCCCTCTCACTTCTCAGTAAGAACTGTAGCATCCATCTCTCTCAGTGTGCGGCGGGTTGCACTGCATCCTTCACATTCTCCTCAGATAATGGGGTTTGTTGCAGCTTGCACAGATGGAAACTCAGGGAGCGGTCTTCCATCAGCTGTATTAGCCCCGCTATCACTTCTTAAAAACAGTCGACTCCATTTGCATCCCACCAGGGTCTCATGACTTTAGGCGAGGAGTATAGCACCCCTTCCCTCATCTGAATCAGAAGTGATAGAGATTAGCGATGTGTTCAATGTGCAGCTGTCTTGCTAGAACCGTTTACTGAGCTTTTTACTACTTTGAAGTAAATGTTATACAGGATTCTGTGACGTATGATTGATACAATCTTATTGTGTTTCTTTAGGGCAGCGACAAGGGCGACGTGGACAAGAATAAGTGCTGTACGCTGTGTAACATGTCCTTCACCTCAGCAGTGGTGGCACAGTCACACTACCAGGGTAAAATCCACGCCAAGAGGCTAAAACTGCTACTGGGGGAGCAGCCTGCCATCACAACCAAAGGTATAGCCCCCGTTGACAATGCATTGTGGGTATAAATGATAGAGGAGCTACACTACATCTGTCCAAAGGGGATTTATTATTGAAAGAAATCATAACTAAGGAATGAGACACAGGATGCCGTATGTGTTGACAATGTACAACGGTGTAAGCGTGAAGTGGAGTAGAACCGCGGAGCTGATTTTAAATAACTATGTGCATGTATGTCCATACAGACTGAGTGTGTGCTCTCCCCACATCTCTCCCACTGTTGTCTCTGAGCATGAGTCCTAACAGATATATATATTATTATCCAGTGTACATATTAGAGCAGTGGTTCTCAACTGGACCCACCATCACCCCTTAATGACAAGCCGCGACCCAAGTCGAGGAATCTTCTCAAATGTATTTAATGTGAAGATGGTGCAGTTTGAACCTGAGCTGAAAATGTCCTCTGCAGTCGTAGTAGTAGGGAGCTCTCTTGTGTAGATAAATTGTTCCTGTCAGTCCCCGTCCCACACATGTTTCACGTAAACGAGTAAAAACTGCTGTTTATGTTTGTAGATTTGTCCATTTGTAATGCAAAATGACCACTTGCCTTAATTCGACCTGTGGTCTGTTGTTTGATGTCATCCAACATGTCTTCAATTCGTTTACTTATAGTGTCATTTGACAGAGGTATAATTTTCAGTTTATCCTCTGCTGATATTAGCATTACAAGGCATTAACGCCAAATATTGTTAAGGAGTGTGAATAGACGGCACTCCGCTGCATAAAAAATCCCCTTCAAAATAAAAGCACAAGATTATATTATATTTATATTTTTTTTTTTTCAGGCAAAGGCCCGCGACTTACTGAAAACGGGTCCGCGACTTACTGAAAACGGGTCCGTGACCCACCAGTTGAGAATCACTGTATTAGTGTATATATTAGTGAATAGTTGCACTGTTTTGATTCAGTGCTCTGAAACATCACATTCACACCGAGATGATTTACGGGTCAGAATATACTGCACGTTCACCAATACAGCAGCATGGCTACGCTAGTTGTTGTTCCTATAACTTAGCTTCTTCTGTGTACTTGTGTTTTGAGTCATACCTTTGGTATCAGCACTAAGTACGTTTTGGCATGAGTAGTGCACTTTTAAATTCACACCCTTAAATTGTTTCTCAACATTACTCTTAAATTCCGCCTATGGTAATACAGTATTGGCTCCTAACCTCCAGAGCCTTTTCTCCCTGTCTAAATGATGGTAGTATTAAATAAATCCAGGATGCTCAGGTTGTCTTTGCAAGCAACTTATTATGACCCAAATTTATGTTTATTGTGAGGTGGCGACCACTAGTGGCCGTAGTGATTATGACGGGAGAAAGTCAGCTGACTTAGTATAAGAAGCGACAAAGTCCGCGTAAGGAGCATGGATGTATAAAGAGAACTGGATACGTTGGAGGCGGGGCCCACGTTAATTCCTTTGAAATATGCTCAAAGGTGCATGAAGCAAAAAAAGTTTGACTTCCAAGTAGAAAATGATCCGGATTTTGGGCACTGCTTCCTAATCTATGGGGCCCACAGAGCAAGCCCACTTTCGTGTTCTTTATCCCTGCCTCCCAGCCTCGACCTGGGGCTCATTCATATGAACAGAGAAAGGAGAGAATAACTCTGGATTAGTAGTTTTATTGGATTATTTTTATTGAACTTTACATCTTTTAAGACTTAATAACTTAAATAGGGCCTATTTAGGTGTTTATACTGGGAAGTTGATTTACCTTAAAAAAAAAAAAGCTGAGTTACGCTGACGTCTCTTTAGCACAATGGCATTACATATCAGACCCGGAAGCAAGCACACAGTCCAACGTGCTACCTTGGGGCTTGGTAGGAAGGAGTCTCAGCACACAGTATGTAGCTTATTCACTTTAATAATTCACCTGACCTCTTTTTATAAAATTAACCCTGTTTAGTGAGGAACAACAAACAAGCGCCATTTTTGAGGAAATGGGATACTCGGTGGCCATGGTCTGACATACCCTCATCACTTCCATTAAGATTATCATGTTGGATGGTCAGTTGCCAACTTCCTGTGTCTGCACTGTGCCTTTAATACATTTTCCCTCTCTGCCCTCATACTCCCCTACCTCCTCCTCCCTACTTTTGAGCTCACCTTGAGATGTCAGTGCTGTTCTTTTTCCTCTATCCTAGCAACAACAAAACAGACATGGGATGGCCCTGTGAGCATGGATGGAATTGTTAAATACTGGATACTTTTCCATCTTTAGGCCTCTAGGAACTATTTTATTTGAACAATCTGAAAAGTTAATGCTAAATGGACTTTGAGTGTCTTGCCCAAGGACACATCAACTTGGATTGGAAGAACAGGGGATCAAACCGCTGATCTTCTGAATTAAAGATCCGCTTCGAGCCACCGTCACTCTTTGATTGAGGGGCTTGAAACTCAGACATAAGTGATCTGTGGCATAAGGTTGCAGGTAGACATGGCATCACAACCACTGAGTTTCTAGTCATTCCCAACCAGTATTTCTGGCTAAAAAAAGATTCCACGCCCTTTTCCAGGGTCCCTTTTAACAGGGACCTATTTAGTACCAGTTGTTGATAACTGCTCTGCTTTTGGTTGTTGTCAGTTGTCAGTGTTGATGATGATGATGCAGCAACCCAACAAGCTGGTGTGATTGACAAAGTTTTTCTGTGTGCATCTATGCGTGTGTTATTTAGATTTAATCACCGACTGCTCCTTACCTCCGGGGCGATGGAAGTTTTCTGCAGTTGTAATCCACTGACAGCTGCTCACCTTGAATCTACTTACAAATTGGCAGTTGCGTGAGAATAATGAGCGAAGGACACGGGGGGAAACGGTGAATGAGAAACACGGTAAACATTATATTTTCAGATTGTTCTGAAGCCCAACACCTGAGTCCACAGTGATCAGTGTGGATGTGAACAGATCAGCCTTGAGGTTTGTTTGTTATCTTTTGTTTGTTGGTGCTCCAGTTGACCGAGCCACTTAGTACACTTCACAACTTTATGCTTTACTTTGTGCTCAGCAATACCTTTCTTTTAGTTTGTTGTAAGTGTTCTGTTGACTGATAAGGTGATGCATTTTCATAGTGGTCCTATATATATATACTGTATATATATAGTTGTCTGAAGTCTCCCATCATTGGACCATTCTGGATGTATCTCTTATTAGAACAGCATCAGCCACTGTAGCCTGCTTTCCCTCTCAACTGGTGCTATTGAATCAGTAGATTGGTGCACAAAGCTCCTGTCTTTGAGTTAGTGTTTGTTGGACAGATCCTTGAAGTCTTTGGTTGAGAAGAAGAAGAATTCCTTTCACTTCAGCGGCACCAGCATATTATGGGAAGTAGAACATAATGTGTGAAGTCTGCAGAGCTACTTCAGACAGTGTTTGCACCGTTACACCCACGGGAAAACTTTCTTCTGTAGCACACCTGAAATGAAAGAAAGGACAATAAGAGCCGTTTTTATCTCAATTGGCCAGAATTCATGAGCTCTTGATCACGTCTGTCAGCTGCACAATTGCTGCACCATCCCACTGCTTCTGCTTCCTGTGCTGCATTCAGGGCCTATCATCCATCTGTGGGCTCTGTGCTTATTTATTCCTGGGCTTGCATCGATCTCTCTCTACTCTTGTTTGCCTGGTTGAATTATGGGAATGATCAAAACTGAGCCTGACACCAACTCCATTTCTTGATTTATTCTTAACAGTTTTCCTATTCAGTTCATGGCTAAACTACTGAACGTTACTGTTTATTAATGCAGCCCACTCCCCACAGAGTGAGAAGCCTGTTTTTGTTCTGTTTTTCACAGGTTAGGATAGAGATATATCTTTTGCTTAGAAAGGTTTGGGGCTCTGTATTGATGGATTTTAGTTTGTCATTTTTGGGCATAGCTCAGCTCTGTTTTTGGAACCTTCCACCTTTTCACCAGAGTGTATATCATGTTGCTGTAGTTTATTACATGTCCTCAATCATTTACACAGCTGACTTTGAAGAACAAATAATATTAGGAACATTTGTATTCCAAAACTGAAGCGGTACAGCATGTTTAATTACACACACATTTTACACATGTAAATGTGAACTGCATGACGTACATGACAGTGAAAGGAGAGAGAGAAGAGAAGGAGAAAGATGGAGTGAACAGTGAGAGAGGATTTTGACTGCAGCGTTTAGCTGCTTAGTCCTACTACAGCTACTTGAGCTCGAGCTAGCTAATGTTACAGAGCTAGCTTCACCAATTTTAGCAACCTGATGTAATGAAACAGACCAAATGAAACATTATCTGAGATGTTAACAGTTCAATAATCATGAAGACAAAACAATACTGAACACTATCCGTGATAAGCGTGACTTTCCTCGGTTCATCTCCACATGGCTGCTCAGAACGATGAACTGAAGCTGTGCTGTCCAAAGTCGAGTTCAGTAACAGCCGATCACGTCTTGTCATTCAAAAATGACTTGTAGGCAATGATGTTTGAATAATAAAAATGTGTTATCATCATAGCAGAAACATTAGCCTATAAACAACAGTACGATGTAGATAGTGACTCACTGAACTTAGAGAGGCGTATTTCCACCACAGAAAATACCGTATGCTGATAAATTACGGTTATCTGCCGTTATGGTTAAATAATGGCATGTTAACATGTGAAGGATGGATATTTAACTGTATGTTACAGTTACTATGTAATAATACTGTTATAAATCAACTGTACATTTACAGTGTTTCATTACAGTGTAGATCGAGCACGTCTTTGTAAAACATTCTTAGTTTTGTATCGATAAAAAATAAATTTACAAGTAAAGTCAACTTCATTTTATTATGTAGATCAAGCGAATCTAGTATTTTACAATGGATTTAAGTCATATTTATGAGAGTGTTGGTTAAAATGATATTTGTTTCAAACCACACAACACACCTACTGTTTCTTTGACGATATCTTTACTGCACAGCACTTACTAATTTAGTGGTGCTGTGGTGAAAAGAAG